GCCCCCCTACCAGGAAATCGGTTTCGGTTTCGTGTTCGTGCGTGCCGTGCGTGCGGGCGAGGCGAAGCTGCGTGGGAGGTCGAGAAGAAAATCTGGGGCCGGTGGCCCGCGGTGTCCCGCCGGTGTCCCGCCTCCGGCTGAGGCGCGGCCGGACCAAATGTTTCCTCTCGGGGGCCGGTGCCGCGCGGTGTCCCGCCGGTGTCCCGCCTGTGCCCCGTCGGTGTCCCTATGATGATGATGATGATGATGATGATGATGATGATGATGATCATGATGATGATGATGACGATGACGATGACGATGATGATGATGATGATGATGATGATGCCGATGATGTTGATAATGATGATGCTGGTGATGATGGTGATGGTGGTGTCCCGATTATGATGATGGTGATGTTGACGATGTTGATGGTGATGGTGGTGAAGATGATGGCCATGGTGGTGGTGATGATGGTGCCCCGATGATGATGTTGATGATGTTGATGTTGCTGGTGATGACGATGGTGTCCCGGTAATGATGATGATGTTGATGATCATGAAGATACTGATGATGAGATGATGAGAGGATGATGCTGCAGGTGATGGTGATGAAGATGTTGACGATGGTGTCCCGATAATGATGGTGATGCTGGGGTTGATGGTGATGATGCTGTTGATAGTGATGGTGATGGTGATGATGGTGTCCCGATGATGCTGATGATGTTGATGATATTGATGACGATGATGGTGTCCCGGTGATGATGATCATGTTGATGATGAAGATGATGATGCGGTGGTGATGATGAGTTTGATATTGGTGTCCCGGTGATGGTGATGATGCTGATGTTGATGATGATGATGATGGTGTCCCGATCATGCTGATGGTGCTGATGATGATGGTGACGGCGACGATGTTGTCCCGATGCTGATGATGATGACGATGATGATGTTGATGATGACGATGATGATGGTTTCCCGATGATGGTGATGTTGATGTTGTTCATGATGCTGATGATGATGAGATGATGATGATGATGGTGGTGTTCCGATGCTGACGATGATGGTGTCCCGATGATGATGAGGATGTTGATGATGATGGTGGTGACGATGATGGTGTCCCAATGATGGTGATGTTGATGATGATGTTGATGATGACGGTGGTGGGGCGATGATGCTGATGGTGCCCCGATGATGATGATCATGATGTTGATGACGATGATGTTGATGATGATGACGTTGATTGTGAGGTCGATTGTGATATCGATAGTGAGATTGATAGTGGGACCGAATGTGAGATCGATTGTGAAATCGAAAGGTGAGATCGATAGTGAGATCGATTGCGAGATAGATCGTCAGATCGATTGTGATATCGATCGGCTGAAATAGATCGAATGAGATCGATTCTGAGATCGAACGAGTGAGATCGATCGAGCGAGGCCGATACTGAGATCGATAGTGAGATCGATCGTGAGACCGATCGGGTGAGACGTTGGTTCCTCCCCCCCCGAACCTCCTTATCACCCGAAGGGTGGTCGTATAAGTATTTGTTTTAGGTTTTGGGGTCTGAGGAGCAAGGAAACCCTGTGTATGTGTGGCTTTTGGAGTTTTTGTAAGTCTGAGGAGCAAGGAGAAACTGTGTATGTTTGGTTTTGAAAACCCCCAGCTCGCAGGGGCCACTCTCCCAGCAAGCACTGGCGCTGGCAAGGCAACAAACAAAAAACAACAAAACAAAATTCACAGTGTTCCCTTGCTCCGAGAGCGCCAAACACTGTGTATGTTTGGTTGTGTTGGTTTTTTGGGTCTGAGTGGCAAGGAAACGCTGTGCATGTTGTTCCTGGTTTTGCAAGCCCCAGTGCTCGCCGGGACCCCCCGACGACGCCAGACCAACAAAAAAAAAACCAGACACAGTGTTTCCTTGCACCGAGAGCGCCAAACACTGTGTATGTTTGGTTTGTTTTGTTTTGTGCTGTTGGTTCTTTCGTTTAAAAAGCAAGGAAACACTGTGTATGTTTTTTTCGGTTTTGACAGCGCCAGTGCTTGCTGGGAGAAAAGCCCATGCGAGCATTGGGGCATTCAAAACCCCAAACAAACACAAACACCACACATACACAGTGTTTCCTTGCTCCTCATACCCCCCCAAAAAAACAACCAAACATACACAGAGTTTGACGCTTTCGGGGCAATTAAATACTGTGTATGTGTTTTGTTGGTTTTGCTTGTTTTTTGTTGTTTTGACAGTGCCAGTGGCTGCTGGGAGAGAGGCCCCTGCGAGCATTGGGGCTGTCAAAACCACTTTTTATACATACACACATATATATATATATACACCAATAACAAACATTAGCGGTATGTCCTTGCTCCTCAGACCCAACAACACAGTGTTTGGCGCTCTCGGCTCAAGGCAACACTGCATATGCTTGTTGTTTGCTGAAGCCGCAAAGAGGGAGGAGGAGCCAGGAGGAGGAACAAACGATCATGGGTTACGGTTCTGCTTCTGGTTCTGCTTTAGGGTTCTGGTTCTGGTTCTGGTTTCGGTTGTTCTGGCGTTGGGTCTGGTTGTGATTATGGCTGGGGGTGCCTGGGGGGCAACCACACACGCATATATATATATATATATATATATATATACATATACATATACATATATACATACATACGAAAGATGATGCCAAGGCTCTAAGACAAGGGCACTTTTGAACAATGTGACTGTCGTCGCCTCGGGCCCCCTTGGGGAGCTCGGGTGTCATATAATTCGTTACATCGGGTGTCCGAGCATTGAGAAAGAATCGGGTTCTTACCTACCTCTCAGAAAACACACAGGGTGGCCTGGCCGCGTAAGAAGCACGTGCGTAAAGCTCGAAACCACAATCTTGAATACCCCATCTGGGTTGCCTGGACTCTTGAAAACACGTGGTTCCATCTGTGGGCAATCAAGTTGGATATCCCCCCAGGCGAACTGAGCACATGAAAACAAGCATTTCGCCTGAGAAATCCTCTGGGTTCTGACCCCCAGGAAAGAAGCAAATTGTAGGTCACACTTACTCCGACGGTCGGACCCCACACGAGAAGATGTTTAACTTGCCTGGGGATATCCTCTTGCCCCCTCCCATGTGCCACCTATCTTGACTCCTCTTTCTCCTCCTGCCTGCTCCTCCTCCTGCCTCAACCCCTGCCTCCTCCTCTTGCCTCCTCCACCACCTCCCCCTCCTCCTTTTCCTTCTCCTCCTCCTTTTCCCTCTCCCTCTCCCTCCTCCTCCTTCTCCCCCTCCTCCTCCTCCTCCGCCTCCTCCTCCTCCTTCGCCTCCTCCTCCTCCTTTTCCTCCCCTCTCCATCCTGCTCCTCTCCCTCTCCATCCTCCGCCTCCTTCTCCTCGTCTCCATTTTCCTCCCCCTCCTCCTTCTCCTCCTCCTCCTCCTCTCCCTCCTCCTCCTCCTCCTGCCTTCTCCTGAGGCCTCCTGTCTCAAACTGGGGCGCCGGAAGACGACCGAGAGGAAGCGCGGGCCGGAGGACGACCCTGGAAAAACAGATGAGGCGCGGGCCCTTGTAGGGAGGGGGCTCCCGCCTGAGACGTCCTCGCAATTTACTCACAGAAGAGGCTCCCGCCTCATACTTCCCTTCATATTCAGGCCACAGGAGCCCAAAAGTGACGACGGTTACAAGAGGCCGGTAACCCGCTTCGGTTTACCAACATGAAATGCGGGCCCCATGGGGAGGGGGCTCCCGCCAGAGACTTCTTCGCAATTCACTCGCAGACGAGGCTCCCGCCTCATAATTCCCCCAGATTCATGATGCAGGGGCCCAAAAATGACGACGGTTACGTGAGGCCGATGACCCGCTTCGGATTACCTGCATGAAATGCGGGCCCCATGGGGAGGGGGCTACCGCCAGAGACTTCCTCGCAATTCACTCGCAGACGAGGCTCCCGCCTCGTACTTCCTCCATATTCAGGCCTCAGGAGCCCAAAAGTGACGACTGTTACAAGGTTCCGATGACACGCCCGGATTACCAACATGAAGTGCGGGCCCCATAGGGAGGGGGCTTCCGCCTGAGACTTCTTCGCGAGTCACTCACAGACGAAGCTCCCGCCTGATACTTCCACCAGGTTCAGGCCTCAGGAGCCCAAAAGTGACGACACCTGCAGGAGGCCGATGACCCGCCTTGGATTACTCATATGAGCTGCAGGCCGCATCAAGGTTGAAATTCACTCGCGGACGAGGCTCCCGCCTGAGACTCCCTCCAGATTCAGGCCTCAGGAGCCAACAAAAAGACGACGGTTACAAGAGGCCGATGACCCGCTTCGGATTACTCACATGAGCTGCGTGCCCCATAGTGAAGGGACTCCCGCCTGAAACGTCCTCGCCATTCACTCGCAGACGAAGCTCCCGCCACATGAAATGCGGGCCCCATAAGGAGGGGGCTCCCGCCTGAGACTTCGTCGCAATTCACTCACAGACGAGGCTCCCACTTGAGTGGGTAGGTGGGTGAGTGAGTGAGTGGGCGAGTGATTGAGCGATGATGATGAGTGTGTAGAAGGGTAGATGTCAGAGTGATGACGACGATGGTGATGATAGTGTGCGTGAGTGGGTGAACGGGTGAGTGGGAGTGATGCTGTTGTGTGTGAGTGATTGAATGAGTGTACTAAGGCAGAAGAGAGAGAGAGAGAGAGAGAGATGGGGGGGAAGAGTGGGGGGAAGGGGAGGAGGATAGATCCTGCGCGGGTGTGCAGAGAAAGCAAGAACCCCACTTTGGATCATAAGCCCTGCGGCGGGTTCTTGGAATCGTTGATGGAGACGTCCTGGTGCAATACTGGTCACGTCCTGGACGGTCCTGGGTCGGTCATGGGGCAATGTTGCTGGCCTGCAGGGCCGTCGGAAGGTCACCTTCGGACCTCTGCCAGTGGGACTCCACTCGGGAGACCCGTGAGCCGCCATGAAGCAAATAGGAAGCCACAGGGAGCCCTCACTGGCGACAAGACGAACATGCCTTCCAGACTGTGGCGGGGGCGGTGGAGAAGGGCGCCAGCGTGGGTTCGCGGCAAATCGCCGTGTAGTCGCCGTTGTTGGTGGCCGCGTCGGTTGTCGTGAGGGCAAAGTAACCGTAGTGGTCATTCACCCAGCAACCTGGCGGCGTCCAAGACCAGGTGCCCGTTTTCCCATCCTCCCTCCAGGTCGCCTGCAAACCGAGCGATGCGACGGCGCTCTCGCACTCCGCCGTGTCCCAAATCGTCCTGGCGACGGGGCAAGTGCCGCCTGCAATTGTGTAATACGTCGCCACCTGGGCTGGGTTAAGCAGGACGGAGAGTGTCCGAGCTTGACCGAACTAGTCTCAGCTGGACCGCGTTAGCCAGAACTGGATCGAACTAGACAGAGCGGGGCTGGTCAAAGTAAGGCGGTGCAAGAACTGCGTTGGACTATTCACGCTGGGGTGGACCAAGGAGAGCTTGCCTCATCCATGCTAGGCCGAGCTGGGCTCATGTGGGCTGAAAAAGCATATGAGGTGATTGGATGCCACATCCTCCTGGGGTCCAGAATCGCCTTAGGATAAAGGGGGGGCGGCGGGGTCAATGTCCTACACATTGCTTTTCTCCTGGGGGTCATCGTAAGACAAAACAATGAGACATCCGCAGCTAACGAGCATGGGCACTCTATCCTGTGTTTATCGATCGGAATGTCCAAGCCCAGCGTTTCGATCGGGGCATCCTCAACTGTTAAATTCGCTGGCCGTGCGCGACCTTGTCATTGCTGAAGGAAAATATGCGCTGGCCCTGTGCACGTCGAAGCCCGGGGACCGTGAAACACCACTACCAGAGAGCCCTGAGCCCACGCCCTTACCGGGAAAGCTGCCCTGCCATCCGAATCAAAGCGGCAAGACGAACGCCATGGGCAAAAACAACAGGATCGACCCACGAACCCGGAAAGGAATATAGAAACGTGAGGCATGGCAACATGTCCAAGACGCCTAATTGGGCGACGGGCAATCACAATGCTGAGTGTATCAATCTTGATGTACCGTGCCAAGGGCTGCGGTGTACTTTGCCGTGGTGGATGGCGATATGCCATGCTGCCACTGTGCCCAATACAGCGTTGTGAATCGAGTACTCCTTCGCATCCGAGCCCTAAGCAAACTGATCTGGATCTTACTCTCGAGCTACCCGAGTAGTAGCTTCCCGAGAGCTAGTGGAAGACGCTCAATCAACTCAACCTCAAGATCCGACTCAGCTCCGAAAAGGAACGACACGACACGGGGCACAGGCTCACGGACGCGCCACAGGCTGTGCCACGGGGACATTGTGGGACGAGCCAGGGGGCGTGTCACGGGACGCACCAAGGGCGTGCCCTGGACGTGTCAGGGACCTGCCACGGGACGCGCCGAGGTGCGTGCCATGGGGCGGTCAGAGGACGTCATGCCAAGGAACGTTGCAAGGGGTGCGCCACGGAACGGGCAGAGGAAACGCCTGGGGACGAGCCAGGGGACGCGACAGAGGAAGAGCCAGCGAACGTGCCCCGCTGAGCACGCCACGCCAGAACGGCGCACGGGACGCGCCAGGGGGCGCGCCCACGCGCCAGGGGATGCCCCACGGACGGGCGGGTTGGACTGCACTCTACCGCGACAAGCGTTCTGCTCGAGACATCCTCTACGCATCCTCATGTTAGACGCCCGCCTGGGCGACCTGGACACGTCAAAACAAGCGTCTCGCTCGAGATTGTTTGTTTGCGAACTCCCCGATGGCGCGCCGCAGCTCGCCGAGGTCAAGGTGCAGGGCTAGCGGGCTTGCAGCGCTGCCAGCACAGCCCGCTGCGCAGCGGGTGGGAGAGGGACAGCCTCCCCGTCGCACAATCTTTGACTTGTGTACGGGTTTTCTCCCCTTAGTAGCTTGCCTCGGCGGCACTTGGCCTGCGCATTGGCAGGCTCGCCTTCACACGGCAGACATAGCTTCTTGGCCCGCCCGCTCGAGAAAACCCCGCAATTGCCACAAACACGCAAAACCTCCAGCACGCAGGAGCACGTGCTGTCGGCTGGGTGGCCCCAGCGAGGTCCTTGCGGGCAGGACGAAGCGGGCCTCTCTAGCATGCGCATTCCTGCAGGGAGTGCGGAAGAGCGCGCGGATTCCCTGAGACGTGCCAGAAGCGACCGCACTGCTGACACCTCCAAGCCTTGCAGTCCCAGACAAGGTTGTGGGGCCGGGCCCCAGGATGTGGACCCTCCCGAGCACGCCTGCGAAGGCGGACCCCACTCCAAACCTGGGCCTGGCGGCCTGTGGTGTCCTCGAACGTGCCAACTTGCATAGTCATGCCGGCACGAAGAAGGAAAAATCAATGATTTCCTTAAAGTTTTTGACAGATTTTGGCGTTCTCGCCGTTTCAACTTGCCGACGCTCCAAGACGGCCCCAGATGCCCCCAAGATTGCCCCAAGATAGCCCAAGAGGCCTCAAGAGAGCCCCCAAAATGACCCAAGAGAGCCTCAAGACCGCCCAAGATGCCTCCAAGATGGCCCCAGAGGCTCCCCAAACGGCTCCAACAGGGTGTCCAGACGGTGGGCCCGACGAGCCCTCGGCGACAGAGGCTCCCAGGAAGCCCCAAGAAGCCCCCAAGAGGCCAAAACGAGACCCCCAAGAGGCCCCCAGGAAGCCCCAAGAGGCCCCCCCCCCACATTAGAGAACGCATGGGTCGCTCTCCAGGGTCGGCGGCACCGGCCGTAAGGCCTTCGCAATGAAGAGGAGCAAGATGGTGAGGGCGTGGAAAGACTGCGGCTCTCCGCCGTGAAGCTTGTCGATGTGATTGTTGTCGTACTTGTCTGCGTTGTGCTTGTCACTGTTGTCGAGTTTGTCTCCGTGGTGCTGCGCAAGCTCGTAAGGGACGTTGTGCTGCTGCTTCTCGATACGCTGCTATCCGTTGTGCTGCTCAACGTAGTGACACTGTCTGTGGTACTCGTTGGTGACGTGGCGGTGGTGCTGTACGGAGTTGCGCTGGTCTCGGTAGTGCTGTGCACACTTGTCGTGCTGGTCTCGGTCGTTGTGCTGGTCTTGGTCACCGTAAAAGCCTCGACGAGGATGAGTTGAGAAGGTGCAAACTGGCGACTTGAACGAGGAGCAACCAATGGAACAAGGCCCTCCAGAATCAGACGCGAGACGCGGGGCATAGCGCAAGGCAATATGCACGGGGAAGGTTCGCCGTTGGCGACGCGTGGACGCCGTTCATCCAGGGGCGGATGGGAAAGCAGGGCTGACCCACTCTGACAGCAAACGTTCCGAAGAAGAACACCAAACCACACATGGCCAACATGATCGACCAATGAGCCCAGAAAGGAATTGAGACACGCGTGGTATGGCTACGCGTTCAAGACGCTGGATTGGGCGACAAACCGTTGCAATGCTGTGCGTATCTATCGTGACGTACCGTGCCTAATATTGTGCTGTGTTGTGCCATGCGAAGGTGAGATGGGTCATGCCGCATTGACTTGCGTTGTGCTCTATAGCGTTGAGGATCAAGTCGCCCTTGGCATCCGAATCCTGACCTTGCTAATATGGATCTTAAGCTCGAGCTGTCTGAGCGCATAACTGGCACAGAGCTGGTTGCAGTCGAAACGTGTGGGATGCTCAGTCAGCTCGAGCTCAAGATACCATTCAGTTCCGAAGCGGGACGACGCGACACGGGGCTCAAGGCGCATGGACGCGCCACGGAATGTGCCAGGGTCGCACTAGGGGATGCGCCAGGGGACGTGTCGGGGGACCTGGCAAGGGACGCGCCACTGAACGGGCAAGGAAAGCGCCAGGGGACAAGCCAGGAAACGCGACAGAGGACGAAAGGGACGCGCCGAGGGGCGAGGGGCATACGCCGTCCCGCACTGGGGCGTTAGGAACGTATGTGATTTCAGATGCGTTGGGAACCCAAGTGTTGTCACGCTTGCCACGCTCTGAGGCGTTAGGAACCCATGTGGTGTCTCGTTTGTCCCGCTCTGCGGCGATAGGAAGCCACGTCTTTTCACGCGTGTCCCGCCCTGAGGCGTTTGGAACCAACCTGTTTTCACGCTTGTCCCGCTGTGGAGAGTTAGGAACCCACGTGTTGTCACGCTTGCCCTGCTCTGGGGCGTTCGGAACCCATGAGGTTTCACGCGTGTCCCGCCCTGGGGCGTTATGAACCAACATCTTTTCACGCGTGTCCCGATCTGGCACGTTAGGAACCCATGTGGTTTCACGTTGGTCCCGCCCTGAGGCGTTAGGAACCCACCTGTTCTCACGCTTGTCCCGCTCTGGAGAATTAGGACCCCGCGTTTTTTTACTCGTGTCCCGCTCTGGGGCGTTAGGAACCCATGCGTTGTCACCCTCTCAAGGCCAGATTCCTCGTAAATGACGGTCCAGCCGCACTCCCAGAACCACCTTGGCATCCTGGGGCGCCCAGGCTGGTCAAGTGCTGCAAAACAAGCGTTTCGCTGGTGAGCTTTTTTTGTATTCGGCGTTTCGACATTGGGCGGAGGGGGGGGAATGGGGGGGGTCTGGCTGTGGACCTCTGCTTAGTGCGACTGTTTGCAGCAGTGCGGCCGTTGGGGAGACTCCACCTGTCCGAAACAGGCGCCCCAAAACAGCCAAGAACCGCTCCATGAGGGGGGGGAGGGGTGTAGAGAGGGCCCGCGCCGATCGGCAAAACAATGAATCCGCCGGCCCCCTTGTGGGGCCACCAGGCTCTTGGCCGGAGGTTCGCAGTTTCCTGCACCAGTTGCGGCTTCCAGTTTCCACTGTCACAGTTCTGCTTCTTGCTGCTTACTGTTCCTTGTTGACTTCTTGCTGCTTACTGTTCATTGTTGATGGACCGCGCGAAGGGGGGAGGCCCAAAACGGGCATTTTTACAACGGAGAAATGGTATTGTCTGAATTGCTGGGGTGGGAAAAACTTGACACCCCTCACACAGATCGGCGGGGTCAGGGTCCAAAAACATATGGGATTTGCCATATTTCTGAAATTCGGTGGCACCCCTCACGCAGATCGGCGGGGTACACATGGGATGTGCTACATTTCTGAGAATTCGGTGGCACCCCTCACGCAGATCGGTGGGGTCAGATTTCAAAAACAATGGGGATTTGCTACATTTCTGGCATTCGGTTGCATCCTCAAGCAGATCGGCGGGGTCAGGGTCCGAAAACACATGGGATTTGCCACATGTCTGACATTCGGTGACACCCCTCACGCAAATCAGCGGGGTCAGGGTCCAAAGACACATGGGATTTGCCACATGTCTGACATTCGGTTGCACCCCTCACGCAGATCGGCGGGGTCAGGGTCCAAAGACACATGGGATTTGCAACATTTCTGTAATTCGGTGGCACCCCTCACGCAGATCGGCGGGGTCAGGGTCCAAAAACACATGGGATTTGCTAGATTTCTGAAATTCGGTGGCACCCCTCGCGCAGATCGGCGGGGTCAGGGTCCAAAAACACATGGGATTTGCTACATTTCTGAAATTCGGTGGCACCCCTCACGCAGATCCGTAGGGTCAGCGTCCAAAAACACAAGGGGTTTGCAACATTTCTGAAATTCGGTGGCAGCCGTGACGCAGATCCGTAGGGTCAGGGTCGAGAAACAAACAGGTCCCGACACTGCTTCGCGGCGGCGCCCAGACCTCATGATTTAGCTTCTACAGATCCCATTCTCCGAGCGAGGGGGCCCGCGGCAGGGGGCGAAACCCTTAAGGATACAATATGACCGACCCACGATCCCGGAAAGGAACATGGAAATGTAAGGCATGGCAACGTTCCAAAGACACCTCATTGGGCAACGGGCACACGCAATGCTGAACGTATCGATCTTGATGTACCGTGCCGAGGGCTGTGCTGTGGTGCGCCGTGCTGAACTGCGATGTGCCATGCCGCAATTGTGCTCTACAGCGTTGTGGATCAAGTCCTCCTTTGCATCCGAGTCCTGACCGAACTGATCTGGATCTCAAGCTTAAGCTGCCTGAGCACACAGAAGCTGCCCCAGAGGACGCGCCGCGGAACGTCCCAGGGGACGCGCCAGGGGACGCGCCAGGGGTCGAGCCCAGGGACGTGCCATGGAGACGCACCGCGGGACGTGCCAAGGGGACGCGCTACGGAACGTGCCAATGGACGTGCCACGGGACGTGCCAGGGGACGCGCCGCGCGACGTGCCAGGGGAACTCGCTACGGGACCCGCCACTGAACGTGCCAAGGAACGTGCCAAGTTGCAATGCTGAGTGGATCGATCTTGATGTACCGTGCCAGGGGCTGTGCTGTGCTGCGCCGTGCTGAACTGCGATGTGCCATGCCGCGATTGGGCTCTGGAGTGTTGTGGATCGAGTCTTCCTTTGCATTCGAGTCCTGACCGAACTGATCTGAATCTGAAGCTCGAGCTGCCTGAGTACATAGCAGCTGCCCCAGAGCTAATTGACAGGGGAACACGCCAGGAGGACACGCCGCGGAACGTCCCAAGGGACGCGCCAGGCGACGTGCCAAGGGACGTGCCATGTGGACGCACCGCGGGCCGTGCCAAGGGGACGCGCTACGGAACGTGCCAATGGACGTGCCACCTCATGCTAGACATCCGCCTGGGCGAACTGGACACCAGGCCGTTTCAGGCCCGCCTGGGCGAACCTCATGTTAGACGTCCGTTCCAGGCCCCCAGAGGCCCCAGGAGGCCCATGCTAGATACCCCTTAGGTGGCCTGGACACGTAAAAGCACGTGGTTCCAATTCTTGACAATCATGTTAGATACCCCCCTGCGTGGCCTGGACACGTAAACACACGTCGGACCAGCTCTGGGCAACCATGTCAGGTACCCCCCTTGGTGGCCTGGACACGTTAAAACACATGGTCCTTGCTCGAGACAATCATGTTAGAACCCCCCTGGGTGGCGTAGACACGAAAAACACTTGTTTCAAGCTCCTGGCAACCATGTTAGATACCCCCCGGGTGGCCTGGTCACGTTAAAACACGTGGTGCCAGCTCGGGACAACCATGTTAGATACACCCCTGAATGGCCTGGAGACTTCAAAACACGTGGTTCCAATCCGGGACAATCTTGTTAGATATCCCCCTGGGTGGCCTGGACATGTAAAAGGACGTAGCTCCAGCTCGGGGCAACCGTGTTCGATACACCCCTGCGTGGCCTGGCTGCGCTGAATGCGCGCTCCCGCTCGAGACATCCTCGCGATGCCTTCCCTGGAGAGGCTCCCAAAGCGCCACCCGCTGCCCAGAGCGAGAAAGCATCACTGCTCTGTACTGTGACATGTGATCGGGCAGCGCTTGTCGGCGCCCCGTGCGTGCTGCCTGATAATTCGGCGTTTTGCCCGACGCCGTGTTAGAGACCCCCTTATGGGCGGCATGGACACGTAAAAACACGTGGTTCCAATTCGGGACAATCATGTTGGATACCCCCTGGGCGGCCTGGTCACGTAAACACACGAAGGGCCAGCTCTGGGCGACCATGTTAGATACACCCCCGGGTGGCCTGGACACGTCAAAACACGTGGTCCTTGCTCGGGATAACCTTGTTAGGTACCACGCCCTGTCCAGAGCGAGAAAACATTGCTTTTTCTGGTTTGGGACATGTGTTCGGGTAGCGCTTTTTGGCCCCCCGTGCGTTCCCTGATAGCTCGGCGTTGGGCCCGACGCCGTGTTAGAGACCCCCCTGGGCGGGCTGACCTGGACACGTAAACACACGTGGTTCCAGTTCGGGGCAATCATGTTAGGTACCCCCCTGGGTGGCCTGGGCACGAAAAAACATTAGGTTCCAGCACAGGACCACCATGTTAGATACCCCAATGGGTAGCCTGGACACTTGGAAGCACGCGGTTCCACCACAGAACCACCAAGTTAGATACCCCTCCGGCATTGCCTGGATACGTAGTTTGATCGACCCACGAACCTGGAAATGCATCTAGACATGTAAGGCATGGCAGCGTTTCAAAGACACCTGATTGGGCAACGGGCAAGTGCAATGCTGAATTTATCAGTCTTGATGCACCGTGCCGAGGGCTGTGCTGTGCTTCGACTTCCTGAACTGCGATATGCCATGCCGCGATTGGGCTCTG